CTAAGCACCGTTCGCCCCCCCCCCCTCCAAGCCGAACCGCACCGAATGGAAGTATCAGCTCAAATCAGCAACGTAGTCGACATCCACACAAGGCCCAAAGATAATTTGATGCCTAGGAAACTCCACGAGCGAGTCAAGCTTGTTAAATCACTATCCAGTGCTGCCCTGTTAGCGATGGAGATAAAGCTCATGAAAAAAAATACCGCATATAGCAAGACCACAAAAAATAATTATTGAGAAGAAATTACAAAAAACAGACTCATACGATAGAGGATAAAAACAGAAACTTAAGAGCAGTTTAAAAAATGACTATGATTAAGTGTTACTCAGAAGACTAAGGAAAGTTTAAAGTTGCATATAGTTGATATCATACCTGTTACAATCCATGGGAAGACTGCCAACTTGCCAGACAATAGCGACTTGTTCATCGAATACGTTGACCGACACACCCAACAAATGCATGGTGTCATAACGAACGGATGCTCTGAAAGAAGGAAAATCGATCACTAGCCTTTTTCACTTCCTGAGCAAAGAGCTTTCGAAGAAGCACAAGAAATGCGCAACCCTACCGTCCAGCTGTTGTCTGATGTGGTTCGTAAAGAAACAGAAGGGTCGGTTCGTAGTACCCATCGAGGAAAATTATGTCGACAACATTTTCGAGGCTTAATGAGCAAGCAGTACTTCACTGTGAGCACGACAGTAAGATAGAAATGAAAAAACAATTCAACTCATAAACCATGAGAGGGATCTAGACCACAAAAAATAAAGAACTTACCGATGGTCTATATCAGAAAGAGGAATCGAGAAACTGTTGATGAGTTCGCTATCGAATGGGAAAATACCAAGAATTCTGTCATAGATGATAACGGCGCCACACCTGTTTGCCAGGATCTGTCTGAAACATTAGAGTTCAAGCACCATATACGAAGGTGAGCGAATGTTACATTAGTTCTTTTCCGAACGCAATGTTCCGAAACACAGAGGTCAACAGGCAAGCATCGTATTCTTTGACAGATAAACAGATAACTCATTCAGGAAAAGATCGAAGCCGACGAAACCCAAGAAATTTCTTCGACCATCGACCTTACGAACAGTTGAGAAAAGCCTTTTATCCAAGATTACGGGTATAACGAGCTCCACAGCGGGTGAAGTGGTTCGACCATCCCGAAGCCGCTTCTCGCCTGCACCCCGTATCCCCAAGACAGAGAGGGCTTTGCTGCGTAACCGTGAAATGCTGGACAATCGTTTCTCGAAACTCCATTTGTGGTAGCTGTAATGCCGACGTGTGCTAGACAAAACCGTGACTGCAATTGTCTCAAAACAATACTTCACCAAGAGCGCCGCCGCCGCCTTATTT